ATATACCAAGTTGTCAGAAAATACAATTCCTGCATAAATTTGACAGGTGAGAAGGATATAACAATACAGGTCTATCAGCTATAAGCTTCAGATGACTAAATTGTTTAATCTAGTAAATCTTTATAGAATCATTAAAGTCCACAGGGCAAACGTGTCTCTTATCTCTCTGCGTGGTTAGTTTGTATAACATGTAATGTGAAATGGCTGAATATCTTCTCAGGCTGCTCATTATAGAGGAGTTTTATTAAAGTAGGCTTTGATCTGGTAACCATTTTATGCCTCAGTTAATCCTGGATTGAATACAGACTAGTAACAATCTCTTCAGAGAGTTTGAATGACACCACAAGTAAAGCGTGCTACATTTTATCAAAAGAAAATAATGTGTTTTGTTTGGCTTTACTATATTCAGACTGAGTAGAAACACTCATTCTTGAAACTTCTTTGCAATATGGCACTTGAAACTAACCTTGGATCTCATGACTCATCTCTGCTGAGAACGTGGCATCCCTTACAGTTCTGAATCCAAGAATATTTGTGAGCCAGACACAAAAACACAGACTAAGATGCAAAATGGAAGCAATAGATGAATACCTCTCTGGATTTCCATCAGACTCCAGAATTCTTCATGTCTGATATTAGTTCAGAAGACACTGTCTTGCAGGAGTACCTGCAAATGCAAATATTGTTCAGCAGTGTTTAAGTCTGGTGGATTTAATGGCCAAATAAACACATCTCCAAGCACCTGTAAGTATTGTCTGCTGTGCTTTGTAAAGTTGGAAGTGGCTCCTTGGCAGATGGCATGAGCACATAGCTGGTATTAATAGACCCATACACAAAGAGGACAGGGGACTTCTGTTTGTAATTAAGCTAATCACAGAGGCAGCAGAGAAATCCTGCCTTATCACTTTTCACTGCTTGAAGTCCAACTACCAGACTGCACCAACAGAGCAAAGAGTTTCCTTGGCATTTGATGCTCCCCAGTTTTGTGTGCTTTGGGGTTTCCCTGGAGTTGCAAAAAGTCAGGGTAGGGTATCCTGCTCACGCAGCTCTGTTCTACTTCAACAGGTTAGTCTGCAGGTGTGCTATAGAGCTAAATGATTGCCAAACAATTGGGTATTTAAATCCACAGACACAAATAACGTGCGCAACACGAACAGACTAATACTTAAAGCTGTTAATTTAGCGCTTTTCTGCTAGCTTTTGCATCTTTTTCTTGCAGCTCAAGTTCTCAGACATTATTAATTGCAGTAACTTTTTATTGTCAGTGCTACTCCTTTCAACTCCATTAACCCTTTAATTCCCTCATGAATTTTGGTGTTAATCATAATAATGGGAAATATTATCAAAAAAAAGCAGGAAAATTAGAGGTAAAAGAGACTAGGTATTGGCAATTGGTTGTGAATATCTTTGTCTCATTAGCAAGCCCCATAAATTTTCTAGGAATATACATTTCTGTGGAAGAAGGGGTTGTGAGGTGCAGCTGAAACCCGTCTGAGGAATGTCACTGGAAAACTGCATTTGGTGAAGTTTTGAACAGCAGCTCTAGGTAAGCTGTCTCTTGGAAGACCTTTGAAGTGCAGATTAAATAATTCCAGATGATGTCAAGAAACTTTGTTAAGAAAACAAAAGATCTGGGCTTCCAGCCACTTCAGGGTAGTTGGTTTTGTGCCTGGAAAGAACCCTGTATCCACACACTGCTGCTCTCAGGCTGCTCCTGTGGAGTGCCCCTTTCTTTCTCATCTTACAAGATGATCTTATGAGATTTTTCACATTCTTTATCCGTGATGTGTCTCTTCCCCTGAGCTGCGTCCTGACTTCACCACAAAATTGGCAGTAATTCTATTCTGTCAGTTTGCTTTTTAACTTCCTCTGGCCTTTGCCTGAAAGGATCCCCCATTTTTTGTAGTAACACAGAAGAGATCATAGAATGGTTTGGGGTGGAAAGCACCATTAAAGTTCTAAGCCCCCATTCCTGGGTGGTCTTGGGCCAACAGCAAGCACACTGACTGACTGTGCCCCAGAGATTCCCCACTCTGGCTGCTGTGCACTTGAACCCCACCTTTTACCAGGCAGAGCCTTGGTTGCTGTTTGACATCTCTCTCGTTTCCCAGCCTGGCCAGTAGGGTTCAGTAGGAAAGGGGTGCCTCAGGTTAGCCTTAGTCCAGCTGTGCAGCAGAGCCAGAAAATGCTGTAGTTGACCAAGAGGAATGAGAGGCAGCCTCTGCGCTCAGAGGTTGAACATGCTGCTTTATTAAACCAAGAGCTTTTGATCTAGGGGGGACCATGAAGGGGGAGGGGACTATGAAACAAATCAAACAAATCAGGACTAAAACTCAGTCGTAAGTTTTCCCCTGAACATGAAATGTCAGTAGGCAGATTCATTCTGTACTTTAAAACGTTTCTTCCTCCATAAGTACAGGCAGATTTAGAGGAGGTCTTGTAACTGTTCTTGCTCAGGAAAGCAAATGTGTTTTTAAGGCTGGCCTTTGCATGCCTGGAAGCAGCTGGCAATAGCAAGTGACATTATCTGTACAGCTGAAGTGTCTCCACAGTAAAGACAAACCTACCAGCCCCTTGCATGAAGGAATGTACTCACCTCTCCTGCTTTTGGATGCTAAAATATGATCTGGTCAACTAAGTTTTAGCAATTTCTTCTGGATATAGTGGTAAAAAGTGTGATTACACTTACAGCTCCATAATGCTGTGTTTGCCATTAGGACAGTAATAAAGTATTTCTGGCGGGCAGTGCCATCATCTTTGTAAGAGTTGTTGGTCATACTCAGAAAATAAAACTTCAGACTTTTTTTTTCCATACATGGTGATTATTAGGAATGAATCCCAGGTACAGAGAATTTTATGTGTTGATTTTATTTGATAGCTACTACAGGTGAGACTATAAGAGTCTATTTCACTGTTTCAGTAGTGGGATATAGGTACTACCAGCTGAAACACTAAGTCCTTTGGCAATTAAAGCATCATATCTGGTGTCTTCTCAGTGCTGTACTTCTAAACAGAGCATGGTTCCAGTGTGGAGGTGCATCTGTACAGTGTGAACTTCACTGAGCACAACATGCTAGTACTCCTATGCTCATTTCTGGTCTTATTCATCTGTGAAATTCCTTCTCCTTTCAGCCACATCTCTGGATTTCCCCATTTTGTCTGGGAACATCAATCCAAAAGTGGTAACTCAGCCAAGAATGTCAGAACTGACTGTTTAGTCAGTCATTGCTGAAGTGGAAAGAGAGGAAGCTGGCCCAGAGTGAGCACCTGTGCTAGTGGACCTCACAGATAGGAAGGAAAATGAGCTTCTCTCAATTTCTCATGGCTGTGCATTTCAATTGAACTGCTTTCTTTTCTCTTGCATGCTATATTTAATTTGTGAACTTGCTCAAAACTTTCCTCAGAATCATCAGACTTCCTCTAAGGAGTGAAACTGTTTTATTAGCCTTGGATAATGCTGCAGAATTTTTTTATTCACATAGAGTAGAACATGAGATTACAGACTTCCAGCCACAGCAAGAGACATAGGTATCTCTGTCCTTTAAATATGGATTTTAAAGTCAAAGATGTTTTATCCTGCCTGCAGAAGTACAAAAGCAATGAAAAGTGGATGCTATAGTTTATTATGCAACATTTCTTGTTGCAATAAAAATGGCTTTCTTCCTTCATCTGACATCTGGGAATGTCTAATATTGAAGAAAAAGTTCCAGATGAATATATATATATATATATATTTAAAGTATTTAGCATTTTATCATTTTTGAACAGAAATGGCCTGTAAAAAGGGATGAACCTTCTTCTTGTAATACTCTTTAAAGTTAAGATTCGGCCCAAGTCACTAATTCTCAAGAAAATACCTCTGCTCTTTGTATCAAGATGGAACAATCCCTTCAGCTTAAATACAGGAAATGTTGGGTATAATAGTCATTACTTGCGCAGATCTTGTTAACAAGAACATGATTTCCTAATCGCTCCCTTGAAAGCAAACCCAGATGATAGAAGCATAGCTGAACTCCTGCCAAACACCTTAAGAACTCTAATTTCACACCCAGCCTCCTCCAGGAGTGCAGGGTAACCTCGACTAGTCAGTGAAAAGTAAACCCCAAATTTAAGCCCGGTGTTTATAGCTCCTCATACTTGTACCCTTGAATACAAAAAACTACCAGATGGGATAGTACAAAAAATTAAGATACAAGAGTGTAGCCTCCTAAATGCATTTGTGTTACACACCAAGGCAATATAAAACTCTGCAGGCAATATTGCCTTAGTGGCAACATCCTAAACCATCACTCCATGCTCTTGGATTAGGCCTTGAGAGATAAGGAAGTTAAGGAATTTTAAAGTATATAGTACTTAGAGTACAAAAGAACAGATTCTAATTTTTACTGGTGGTCCCTCCATAATGAAGGCATATGTGTGATTCAATGAGTCATGCAAAGGGTTTTGATGTTGCATCATCTTCATTCAGTAAGCGATGAAAACAAGAGCCTTCACTGGTGGTGTAGGCTTGAGGTGATGAAATTGGAAATTGCTGCTTGACACTGGTCAGCATAAAAATACCTCTCTCATTACACTGTTTGCCTAGCTCTGGGTTTATTGCTGGTGTGATGGTAAAGCAGAACTGTGAGGAATTGGAGAGAGGGGGATGAACCTTAAAAGTACTTTTTAGGAGCTCCTTCCAGGCTTCTGGGAAATTGCTGCAAGTTCATAGATATATATGCTGCTTTTAAATATAATGCATCTCTAATACCAATGAACACTCAAAGCTGATAGACTTCTTTCAGCTTTTTACAATACTGCTTAAAAAAAACAACAACCCCAAAACAGCACATGACTAGTTGATAAAACTATTATATTGCTTCAGAGAAGTTTTTTCTTTTTTTTTTCCTTTTTTTTTTTTTTTGTAGGGTTTCTAAATAGGATGAAAGGTGGAGCTAGTCATTTAGCCACACCCACGGTGAGGTTTATAAAGGGAGGTTATCTAAGAGAAGCTCCTTTCTGCCAGTCTATGTCAACAGGCAGTTCCATTTAACTGGTTTTTGTCTTAAAAAATAATACTAATCCTACCATGTCAAGGCTTCTTAAAGGTTCCTGTACTGGCAATACTCCTCTAAATGAACCTTTGAGACACCAAGGCAAGGTAAGTCGTGGAGTCTGCTTTACTACCTTAATTCCCTTTTTATACCTAATATTCCTCTGTCAGAGAATGGAGTATTACTGTCATTTCGAAGGTCTATGTTTTCTCTGCCATTTTTGATCGAACATTTGTTCTCTATGGCTTTGTAATCCTCTATCACTAAGTCCAATGGAGAAAAAGCAGCCTTAAAAAAGCATCCCCAAAGCTGGAGAGGTTGTCCTTTGTCATCGGGTAGTTATGCTTTCAAGACTGATGACTTTGAGGGTTAATTTGCACCACCTGGCCACAACACTGAGGTTAATGTGGCTGTTGTAATTGTACTGCTGTTTGTCAGTCATACCCATATTAACTTCTCAAGCAGACAAATAAAAGATATGCTATGGTTTATTGCACAATTGCTGTGGCTTAGTCATGACTCTTTGATACACCCAAAAATCCTGCTATGATTTTTGGTTTCTACTGTATCACTTGCCTTATATATACATGCACAGGGTTGCTTATGGGTTCCTCTCTTCAGCAGAGGCCTCGTGAGTGACAGTGGATATCCCTTCATGAGATCAGGTGTTATAAATTTTATACATTTATACATTTTTTTATAAATTTTTGCTCTTGAACACAGGTGTTCGTGTTGGTACAATAATTCTGAGGACAGGTCTATATCAGTTTACAATATGTCTGGGTGAAATCTTTCATAGTCTTCTACTGAAGTCAAATGCAGTGTATTAAAAAGTGATCACAACAATGCAGGGTATGTAGCATGAATGTGGCAAGAACACTGGTCATCATAAAAAACACCTCTCTCATTACACTGTTTACCTAACTCTGGGTTTATTGCTGGTGGGATGGTAAAGCAGAACTGTGAGGAATTGGAGAGAGGGGGATAAACCTTAAAGATACCTTTTAGGAACTCCTTTCAGACTTCTGGGAAACTGGAATGAAGTGTGGATGGACTTCTTTGAAAACTTAATATGCAACCAGATACAAGTGTCTTAACTTTCTTCTCCAATTACTTTATCTGTACATAACTAGGTCAGAGAAGAGTGGAAATTTTTCTTTTATAAGCCTTTGATATAGGAGTAAAAGTCACTAATATCTTTTGTTACTAATTGCATCATGGATATGGGAATATTTGAGGGTCACTAGTCTACCAGTGTTCTGAGCATATTCTGGAATAACTACCATGGGCTACAGAAATAACCAGAGTAAAGTTTTCTACAAAACTGGTGCTCTTGATGGGTTCTTTTCTTCAAGCTGTAAGCAAAACTGTGGATTCATGTATTGGCAAAAGCTGGCTGATAGCCTCTTGGGCAAAATGTCATGATGCAAGTTGGAGAGACTGTCACAGCATTTTGACTTTGTGTGATTAGTAGACATGAGAAAATAAATGCATCTTACATTTGAATAGACACATTTTTCACCTTGATAATGCTGTGGCATTTCTTTGGAGCTTCTGCTGTTAATGTTAAACTTGTAGGACGCTTAACTTGAGCAGTGTGGTCATTTCTGCTTCCTACCATATGTTTTCACTGATATGTAGCATATTGTGGCTGTGCTGGATTGTGGTGAGAAGAGCCTTGTTTGACAGCATAGCATCTCCTGCAAGGCCAGGCTCTTGGCTTTATCCACTGCCATTCTTCCGGGAAGTTGGCATGCTGCAGTTACATTGCTCACAGCTATTTTTAAGTGCATTGCATTTATTTTAAGTAAGTTATGTCGATTAAACTGTTAAAAAATATTTGCTGATATCTCTTGCTGTACTGGTACAGTAGGTTGGAGAGTTGAAGGAGGAGGAAAATATTGTCAGTACTGGCAGAGAGTGTTGGGTGTCTCTGCTCTTGAATGATTTTGGATAGGTTTTCTGGGTCAGGGAGAAATTTTAAGTTTTTTCAAGTGGGCAATGCAGAGTTACTTTTTGACATCATTGCATAGCTTAATATCTTTGTAAATTTGGTCACTCCCCCAAATGGGGATTAAAGTGACTTGGAAAGTAATAATTGTGGAATAGTTATCTAGCATAATTCTGACATCTGCTATTCAACACAAAGGACTCAAGTGTCACTGAGTGTCTGGTTACATATTTTATTTGATAACTTTAGATAAATCTTCAGAAGGTTACTTTTGAGTGGCCAAACTACAAGCCTTTGGGTGCCACCTTCCTTTTCTGATTTGATTTTTGGAGCCACTTAAGCAGCAAATGTAGGAAGACTTCTTGGTGGCAAGCTGAGTAATGAAGAGACAGATGGCCCATGGTGATCTCTCGTAACTTCCTTGTAGCTTTCTTTGAGGCAGTGTATGAAGACTGACACTGGCAGTGGCATTACCTTGACATGGTATTCCATTGGTCCTTTTGCTTTTCAAAACTTCTGATATCAGAAGACTTAAGCAGAAAATTGAGCATATATAGGTGGATGCTAAAACTGAATCTGGCTGGAGATTCTCCCTCCTCAATTCATGCATGGCGACACCAGTGTGTTCAGAGCCAAGCTGGAGGAGGGATGTGGGGTGGCTTGTGGGTTCAGCTGGGATGGGTGCAGGGGTGGTTGTGGAGAAGAGTCTGGGGTGGGTGGCTTCAGAGGGTCCCAAGGGAGGACTCTGGTTGCCAGCAGGATGGGGAGGGCAGAGTGGAAGGGGAGAGGCCCTCTCACAACAGCAAATTCCAGGTCTGAGCCCAGCCTTTAAACCTTGCTGGCCTTGCAGTCACCTCATCCACTACCACCAAAGAAAGGGAGTTTTCTGACTCTTGAATGAAAATAGAAATGCACTTTTCTCTACATTCCTGGGCCATCCAAAGTCCATTTTACCTGTACTGCTGAGAAGGCCCAAGCTGACCCTGCTCAGCTGGATGTCTTACTGCTTCATGGATTCTTCTGTTCAACTGTCATTTATTTAGATTGTGAGATCCTTTAATAAGAATGCTCTGCGGTTCTTAAAATAACTGCAGTTTCTTTAACATTATTTGATGTCCTTAAACAATGTATTTTTTCTCAGGGCAGTGCTGTCAGAGGACAGAGACAGATGGCTTTTGTTGCCCTAGTTTAGTTGCAGTCAAACCAACTTAATGAGTTTAAACGGTAAATCTTGTAGACTTGCAATTTTTCAGTTTTTGACCACCTGACAGTCATGTATATAGGCAACAGTTTCCAACACGAGGAAGACTGAAATTCAACTCCTTTGTGTAAGCTGGAAGGGGAGTTGCAAAGAATGTGGTATACAATAAAAGCTCTCCTTATATAACTGGGATCTAACTAATAAACTGGGAAAGAAATCAGTCAGATGTCACTTGGCCTGAAACAATGTTTTTGAGGTGTGTTTTTAAAACACTTGAAGGCTACATCAGGTAAAGGATGTGCTCAGTATCCTGTGTATGGCTTTAGGATGATGTATTGTCTCTGCTGCAGCAAAAATCTTCCATTGGGATGCAGGGGCTACGGCAACATGTGATCATGGTAGAAAACCAGATAGAGAAATCCTAGGATGGGCTTGTCAGATGACAGGGAACTTATTCTGTAGCTGAGGAACAGCCCAACAAGAAACATTTGTCTGTCGGATGGCAGTGATATCTCTGGTCTCCCTTTGAAAGGAACACACAGCTACTGGTACAGTTCCGTCCATTAAAACAATGTGGCACAGAGGGATTGGTGATACTTTGTGGCAGCATTCACTGTGTGCTGCTGCAAGAAATTTGAAGTGCTGCCTTCTGATTTATGATGGTGAAAGTCTTACTTCAGGTTTTATTGGTTTCAGTGATACATAATAAATCATAAATAAAGTGTGTCTGTTCTGTGGTAGTCTAACTGTACCCATTTAAATCCACTAAATGGATTGCTGGTACAGGATGTAGGCACTCTGAGTTTCCTGAATATGTCCTGCTGCACAGTGTGGTGTTTATATGTGTTTTTTTTCTTGATGAAACTGTTAAAAATTCAAATTGCAAGTAAAGATTTTGTTCAGAATTATGTCTGTGGTAAAACTGAAAGGCATTTCTGCTTTATTCATTGCCATAGGCATATGGGCTGATCCTGGAAGGTGCTGGAGAGCTGACTCAGGAGTAACCAGTGGGAGCTGGGTATCAGCCTGTGTGCTTGTAGTATGCTGCAGCGGGGTCTGAGCTTCATGGGGGAATCACACTCTCTTTTATATGAAAATAAGTGAGGTGTTAGGGGCTTCCAGCCCATAAAACTGGTTTTATTAGAACATAAAAATAAATGTGAGGAAAAAAAAAAAGCCACCAACAGGAGAGAAACCTGGTAGGTGAGATTAAAGCTCCTTAAAAATGTATACCTTCCATGCCCTACATATCCTGTGCAGGAGGGTACTATCCTTCTATCTTTCTTAGTTGTCTAATTGTGTGAGTTCTGAAGTTTAAGGAATTTTGTGCTGTCTCCAATTTGTTTCCAGTTGGTTAGGTTTGCCTTTTGGTCCAAGTCCCTGGCCCAAGCCCAGTACTTTGCTCAGGCATCTCCCATTGTCCACTTGCGCATCACGTCGAACACGGGGGGGGTTTCACTCCTGGCTCACACCATGGTGTGCACTCACAGCAGTTAAATAAATAGCTCTCTGTGTGTGTATAAACATAAAACCTCTTTGAGTTAGATTCTCTTGCCATGCTACAGGATGCCTTTTTTTTGGTATTGAGCACAGACAGGTCCATTTCTCTGAGATGGGAACTGACAAAACAGTGGCCTTATTCCAGTTTAAAAAAAAACCCAAAAAAACTAGAAAAGAAACAGTAACTTGTTCTCCTGGACTTATTGAGTTCTTAGTGTCAGAGAACTGTTACATTGGCTTGAACATCCTGTTTTCCTGCATGGAATAGTAGAGGAAAGAACGCAGCACTTCAAACAAGAAAGGTTGTATGCATCTCTACTGAATAAGGAAAGCAGGAGTGTTCCTGAGATTAAAAATACTGCACTTCCTGGGGTATCGTCATGTCACCTGGTAAAAGCTGGGACAAGTTCAGTTGTATTTTTCTTTACATGTCTTTTATGTCCAAATACATTGAT